ACAACAAATTTCTTTTTTAAATTTTTTTATTTTAATGAATCATCGTGAGATACATTTACAGACTTACAGACTTCCATGATTGCGCTTCAGTCAAACAATGTTCAAGTACCCATACCTCCACCAGTGCCTGTTCTCCACTTTCAATGTTCCCAGTATCCCTCCCCTCCCCCAGCCCTTCCCACCTCCTGCCTCTGTGGCAGGCACAATCTCTCTTACTCTCTGTCATTTTGAGTGTTATGATTTGCAGTACAGGTAACAAGCAGCTATGATTTTTGATCCATAGTCAACTTTCAACATACATCTACTACCCCAAGTGATCCTTCCAACCATCATTTATTTAGTGTTTCTCACTCCATACAAGCTACCTTTTCCCCCAGTGCATAATATGGCTATCAAGCCATGAGGCAGTCCTCCTGACCCTTATTTTTACTGTCCTTAGATGTTAGTCCCCAATTATGTTGCTTTATATTACACAATGAATGAATACTTTTATGTCTGCCCCTCTCTTTCTGACTCATTTTATTTTAGTATGATACACTCCATGTCGGTCCACTTATATATAAATTTCAGGACTTCATTTTTTCTAACCCATGCATAGCGTTCCATCGTGTAGATATACCAAAGTTTCTATAACCAGTCGTCTGTTCTCGGACATTCAGGTTTTTTCAGGTTTCTAGATATTGAAAATAGTGCTGCAATAAACATACAAGTGCAGCTGTCATTTCTACTGTACGTTTTTGAATCTCCGGTATATATTCTCAAAAGTGGTATTTCTGGATCAAATGGGAGCTCGATTTCTAGTTTTTAAAGAAACATCCATATTGTTTTCCAAAAAGGCTAGACCAGTAGGTGTTCCCACCAGCAGTAAAGGAGTGTCCCTTTCTCGCTGCATCCACACCAACACTGGTTGTTTTTGTTCTTTTGGATGTGGGCCAGTCTCTGTAGTGTGAGATGATAACTCATTGTTGTTTTCCTCTGCATATCCCTGATAATTAATAATGAAGAGCATTTTTTCATGTGTCTTTTGAGTATTCGAACTTCTTCTTTGAGAAAGTTTCTGTTCATTTCATCACCCCATTTTCTGATGGGATTGGGAGTTTTCTTCTTTCCCAATTTAATCGGTATCATGTATATCTTTGATATTAACTCCTTCTATGAGGGGTATTGGATGAATATCCTTTCCCATTCTGAAGACTGTCTTTGTGTTCTGGCCACTGTTTCTTTTTGGGTATAGAGACTTCTTAGCTTAAGATAGTACCTTTTGTTCATCTGTCTTTCCACTCTTTGGTCAATGGCATTTCATTTTCTAAGATAACTTTGGCTTCAATGTTCGTAGAGGGTTTTGACGACCTTTTCTTCAATGCACCTGGATTTGGTTTAATGTTGAGGTCTTTAATCCATTTTGATCTGACTTTTGTGCATGGTGTAATATAGAAGTCTGAGCCCATTTTTTGCATGTAGCTGTCCAGTTTTGCAAGCATCATTTGTTAAATAGATTTTCTTTGCTCCACTTCACATCTCTGGCTCTGCTATCAAAGATCATAAGCTCATATATTTGTGGGTATGTGTAAGAATGTTCATCCATATTCTACTGGTATGCAGTTTTCTTTTTTCCCCAATACTATGCCATTTTCTTTATTACCACTTTGTAGTACAGTTTGACATTGAGAAAGGTGCTAGCCCCCATCTTTTTTCCCCCTGAGAATTGCTTTAGCTATTAATGGGTGCTTGCTGTTCCATATGAATTTCCAGAGTATTTGGTCAATTCCTTTGAAGAATGTCATGGGTACCCAGATAGAGATCATAATGAATTGTATAATACTTTGGGGAGTATTGCCATTTTAACAATGTTAATTCTCCCAATCCATGAGCAGGAGTATGTTTCCATTTCCTTGTGTGCTCTTTTATTTCTTGAAGTAGATTTTTGTACAACAAATTTCTTATCCAGAGTAATCATTTTCAACTCTTTTCTGTCATAGTGATCCCTATATTATTCCAACTGCCTTCTCCCTGAACACTTGAGGTGAGCTTTGAACTGTCGACCAATCTCCCTAGCTTGTGTCTGTACTGACTTTGAGTATTAGTGTCATGCTTTGTTGTTGCTATTTCATAAGTGAGTGCAATGATTCTTTCTGTCTCTCCCCTTCGACTCATTTGACTCAGCATGATACCCCACATATCATCTATTTATAAGTCAATTTCATGATTTCATTCTTACTAACAGCTGAGTAGTATTCCCTCTTGTAGATGTCCAATAGTTTCTTAACCATTCATCTATTTTCAATCACTCAGGTTGTTTCCAGTTTCTGGGTATTCGCAATGGTGCTAGTGTGTGTTTTGGGTACTTGGGGACATTTGCAGAATTGGATTTCCTGGTTGTAGCACAGTTATTAGTGTGTCAGGAACATATATGTCTGGTTCATTTTAAAACGAAACCAGCAAAGAGGGATTTATATTCCTTCATTGAATATATACATATATGTATATGTACATATATAAATGTATTTACCCAGTTATGTTTTAAATGTCATCTTCTGTATATATGTCTAAAAACCGAGAGTGAATATTTTGGTATATCATAATATTTTGGTCTTATTATGTTATCTAATTTCTCTACCAGCAGTACAATGTTACTTTGATAAGATCATTATCATTTAACAATAAGAATTTTTTGGAAAATGTTAATCTATATATTTAGCTCCTTTGAGGATTTTTTTTTTTTTTTGCTTTTTGGGTCACATCTTGCGATGCACAAGGGTTACTCCTGGTTCATACACTCAGGAATTTCTCCTGGCTGTGCTCAGAGGACCATATGGGATGCTGGGAATCGAACCTGGGTTGGGCCACGTGCAAGACAAATGCCCTACCCGCTGTGCTATCACTACAACCCCTCCTTTGAGGATTTTCAATGCAACCAGAAAGTGGATATTCAGTGTGAATCTTCACCCGAAAAATGTAAAGAAAACCTTTGTAAATCTTATGACCTTTCTGATTAGAAATCTCATGATCATATCTCAGTTATGATCTGTACATCTGTACACATTTTGGATAAAAGTTGCATTGTATTTTCTTTGTAGTTTTGGTACATTGATGTATAAATGGGTAAAAAGGTATAAAAGTTTAATAGATTTTGCTTTCTTTGAGAATGTGTCCATAGTCCTTGCAGTATGGAGAAAGAGGTAGACTGCAGGGAAGAGTGGAGAAATTGAGAAGATGAAAAAAATTAATAAAAAAATATGAATGCTTCATACATTGGAACAGTGTGTTTTTATTACGAATAAAATACAGTGGCTAGTGAGATAGGAGAGGCGGGGAGGGGGTTTCCTTACATGAGGCCAATACAACTTCAATCCCCTGCATCAGATAGGGTTTCCTGAGCATGAATCCACCACAGAGGGATTCCTGAGTGCAGAGCCAGATGTTTCCCTGAAAATCACCAGGCCTAGACTCCAAAACAAGCAAAAAGACTAAAATTCAGAGATAAAATCATATACTGGTTTTGTAAGACTTAATGCAGTCAGGATAATTATAAGTTTTTGTCATACCATACTCAAATTATTATATATCTCTGAAAATTGACTTTGAGGGTGAAACATGTTTTCCTCTAATTAGTTAGATCATAATTAGTAGCATAACTTGCTCTAACACAGACAAGAGAAAAACCTTTGGTGGGTTGATAAAAAGAAAATGAAAAATTGTTCATATTTTTCAAATATTCCTCAGGTTTATTGTATATTTGTATAATATTAAGGAAGATGCACAAATACAAGTTAAGAGCTATAACTATTAATTTTGTGCTTGGTAACCATCTCATTAAAGATATTATATTTATGTCAGAAAAAGCCAAACCAAGCATCTAATCTGAACATATATGTAAATTAAAAGATATGAGCACTTCCTTTGCTGATCTTTATACTGTAGATTTAATAGACATAGACAAAAATAAGCTCTCCTTGAAGAAGCAGGAAGACAGCAAAAACTGTTGCATTTTCTAGCAGAAAGTGAAATTATATGAGAGCAAGAAAACTCTCTAGAAGACAGAAAAAGTAAAATTGAATCATTTTTTAAGTAGAAGGGGTCGAAGCAATAGTCCAGAGGACAGTACACTAGGCTTAATAGCCCAACCAAGGTGGAATCCCTGGCATCAAATGGCATCCATGAGCCCTGCCAGGAGTGTGGAATAAGCTCATGAGGAAAGAGCCTGCCCACAAAGCCCTAAAATTAAAAAGTAAATAATGAATAAGTAACGAAATGCTGGAGCGATAGTACAGCAAGTAGGGTGCTTGTCTTGCAACCTCTGATCCAGGTTCCATTCTTCTACCACATGTTTTCACAAGAACTGGCAACAATGATCCTTGAGACCTGAGCCATGAGTTAACATTGACACCTTTCAGTTTAGCCCAGAAACCTAAATAAATGAATAGAAAAATAATCAAACCAAGCATTCCACACATACATTGTTAATCAAGATAATGCAAATATAAATTCTCGACCATGTATTGTACTTATGCTGGTAAGAGCATTTAATGGTGTGTTTATTTCATACATAAAGAAGTAACTCACATTTAGCTCATAGACTAGGCAACAGTAAACTGGACCATATGTATTCTTCCTGTGGGCTGTTAAAGAGGCAAGTTTGGTATCAGCCATTCTAATTTTCAGGGTGTCTCACCATTAATTTAGAGTAGTTGCAATGGAGTAGAGCATTTCATGTCTTGAGCATAACAGTAATTTGATTTATTGATAAATTCAGCTTTCTTTTTATGAATATTTCATGTGCTAGTCTCTATTTCTTTTCCTTTTATATCTTTGCTTTAGTATCTTGCTTTCATGGGGTGATACATGAAAAGGACACACATTTCAAGGACAACACTGTGTAGAAGTAGCTCCGAGAGACAAGAGTCAACAGAGATCCTTCCAGGAGTCTTGTCCACTACTCTCACCAATAGATCTTCAGGATGGTTGCATAGGGTCATAGTGAGACTGTGGTGTGAGTGAGGATGCAATTCCTGCTTCTCTGGCTGAAGCTGTTTCTCTTCCTGGGCAGATGGTCCCTAACTGTACACTCTCAAAGCCTAGGTCCCCCGGAAGTAACGATTCCCTTGAAGATTACAGACCCTGACCAGGGCACCAAGCCTTCAGACTGGATCTCTTACAGCCTGAAGTTTGAAGGTCAGAGACACGTTGTCCATCTAAAGGTCATCAAGGACTTGCTGACTAGGCATGTGCCAGTGTTCACCTACACAGACCAAGGAGCTCTCCGTGAGGACTATCCTTTCATCCAGGATAACTGCTACTATTATGGCTATATGGATGGGGACCCAACATCTCAGGTTTCCCTAAATACCTGTTTTGGGGGGCTCCACGGATTTTTACACAAAAACAACTCAGTTTATCAAGTGGAGCCCAAACTAAATTCAACCACATTTGAGCATCTGGTATCTAAGCTGGTCAGAGAGGAGAAAGAATCCACAGCTAGGAGATATAAAACAACATTTGAAGAACCGCAATACCAGTCCGACAGTACAGAGGATGACCATTTGTCCACTTTAAGACAGAGCACGAAAGTCAGCTGGTGGACGCATACACGATACGCTCGAATATCAATTATTTTTTCTTATGATATTTATGTTGATTATGGTGCTAATGTCACAGCCATAGAGGATTTACTTATGCTAATACTCAATGAAGTATATGCAAATTATGTGCAGTTTGACATGCATCTGAGTTTAGTGTCACTTGAAATTTGGACTGAAAGAAATCTTCCAGAGGTTAAGCCTGGTGATTCTGATTTGAAGTCTTTCTGTAGATGGAAGGAAAAATATTTCAGTGTACAAATGCCACATGATTCTGCAATTTTAATTGGCAAAGCAGCTAAACGGGATTTATTATTCTTGACTTACACAAAACAAATATGTGAGGCCGCTTACAAATGTGCTTTTGTTAACCATCAAAAAGACGAAATGATTTCTAAAAATATATTGAAAGTTTCACAAGCATTTGGTCAACAATTAGGTTTGAAAGAGGATGGTTCTAATTGTGTATGTGAGCAAAAATATTGCATTATGAATTGGGCGGCAATAGCTGCACATCGTTTTAGCAACTGCAGTTATGTTGACTTTTATACACGAAGAATACTGTGCCTGCTTCGTCTACCAGAAGATTACAGAGAGGAACGCTGTGGGAACGGTGTGCTTGAAGCAGGAGAAGCTTGTGATTGTGGCACTATTGATTCTTGTGTGGCAGATCCGTGCTGTCAGGCTGACTGCACACTGGCTCCTGGGGCTGACTGTGCTGGGGGTCTTTGTTGCCAGAACTGCACATTTTTACCAAGAGGAACCCTGTGTAGAAAAGAAGAAAATGAATGTGACCTTCCTGAGTGGTGTAATGGGAAAAGCTCTCAGTGTCCAGATGATGTGTACGTACAGAGTGGGATTTCTTGCAAAGGTAATGGATACTGTTATGAGAAGAGATGCAAAAAACGTGAAGACAAGTGTAAAAGCCTTTTTGGTGACCAGGCTAAGAGAGCAAGTCTCACATGTTACATAGATGTCAATACTCGAGGTGATCGGTTTGGAAACTGTGGTTTCAACTTCAGTTCATATAGAGCGTGTCATCAAAGAGATTCCTTGTGTGGAAGGCTTCAGTGTGAGAATGTGAAAACGATTCCCGATCTTCCACATCATAGTACCTTGATTTCAACGAATATCAGTGGCACCATTTGCTGGGGAATTGACTACCACTTGGGGACCAACACATCTAATTCTGGTGAAGTAGAAGATGGAACTGAATGCGGCAAACATCATATTTGTATTAAACGCCGATGTACCCCTATATCATACTTCACAAAACGTTGCTCACCACAGAAATGCAGAATGCTTGGCATCTGCAACAATAGACATCACTGCCACTGTAAACCTCCTTGGAGCCCACCCTATTGTTATGTCCAAGGTGGTGGAGGTAGTCTGGACAGCGGCCCTCCAAATGCAAGTGATTTTGATGAATCTGAAGATTTTTCAACTGGCAGCGAAATTGGATCTGAAAATTTGACACACGCTTCTTTTTATGTTCTTCTATTGCGTGTCATTGTGTTTCTACTGATTCTCCTTGTTATATTTATTAAAGTAAACATCTAAGACAGGAGAAGAAAACGACTTTCATTCCCTATGGAGGAAATATCCTACCTGGATCTCTGTAAGTGAACCAAAAACTATGATTAAAAAGAAACAAATACTAACTTAATTTTTTGTATATATATTTTATCCCCTGTGATCCTGGATTATCTATGGGCAAGATGTCTCTGGCACAACATTCGGAGGCATCGCCATGGCTAGAGTAGGGCTCGGTCCTGCCTATGGGTCCTGGGCAGTGTAAGTTTTATAAACATTAACCATTATTCAATTAGGAAATGTTAATATATAGAAATAAGCATGTTCAGAAGAATTTCTTTTCCCTCATTTTATGATATTTTAGTGGTCAATTCTCATAAAACCTTTCCCTTTTCTTTCCTGACCCAAATCAGTAAAATGTATTCGAGAGTAGATAAAAAGATATAAAAGCATGCATTGGTGTGTGTGTGTGTGTGTGTGTGTGTGTGTGTGTGTGTGTGTGTGTAATAGAGAGTATTTGTGTTCTTACCCAAGCTGCTGAGAGGCGTGCATTTCTTGTTGCCCCTATTCTGGAATATTCTCACCATTTTTACTTTAAATTTTGAACAAAAAGATGAGAAACTAAATACTTAATATTGTTAGTTTGTTCATTATTAATATCTCACCAAAGGTAAAAGTTGATTCATTTAAGAAAGAAGGGACTTTTTTACTTTTTTTTGTTGATCATTTGCAACATATCAAATTTCAACTTGACAAGGGTGATTTTAAAGCCTACATTTTGATACTCATGGTATTAACAGAATCGTGCTTTATATATTATGTCTATTCAAATACACATACTATGACAGAGAAATTTGGGTGTTGACATCTTCAGCTCCATGTGGTAGTGCTGAGAGATTATTCCTGGCTCTTGGCACATGGATTGTTCTTGAATAAACTTGTGCCACAATACTGATGCCATGGATTGAACTGGTATCCTCTGCTTACAACACGAGTGCTTTAGCCTCTGACCTCTCTTCAATCTGATAATGCTTTGAGACCTAGTAACTGAGAGAACAAAACAGAAATAAAAGGAGAAATGACAAGTATGTCTGAATCCTGTAAGCCTTAACATATATTTATAGAATATTTGAATGTATTTTAAAATAGAACAAAAGTCCATTAAAAAGTGACAAACAGCTTATCTTCACTGATATTAAAATTTGGAATAACAGGTGGATAGATTACATTGAGTAATCATGAGAAAAGAGTGTAGGTTCTGAAGACAGTATAGTGAGTAGGCCATTTCCCTTGCATGGAGGCAAACAGGTTTCCTCCCCGATTACCATATCTCCACCTGAGAAATACCAAGCACAATTCAAGAATCAAAGGTTCTTTTGGTTATTATCACTCTATTTAATTCTCCACTGTCCTGTGCCCTGAAAACAGGTAAATGCTGCACATTAATCAAGAGAAGGAAAGAAAAAAAATAGTATACTGTTCTAACAGTAATTGGATATTTGAGATTTCAGTATTGTTTATTTTTGAGAAAAATCAATGAAAATCTCCATTTATCTGTCAGACAGGGACAACTAAAACCACAAAAATAAATGTTTGAGAAATATATAGGATATATCAAAATTTTTGGATCATGTTGGTGAGAGAGAATGAGAAAACATAGATGTGAATAGAAATGCGGTTTAATATTTAATGAAGCTAAATATGAACATATTGTCAATATGTGTACTAAGTTAAAGAAGGGTCAAATTTTCCTCAGTGTCTTTAAGATTTTTATCAGAGACAAGTTCTTAGTACTTAAGGAATCCATAAAAAATTACTTGGGAGTTCTTACTTGTCTCAGTTGCACAAGTATTCTGCTAATCTTTACCAACGTTATCTTTAGGGGCCTGGAGACAGTAATATGAGTAAGACTGTTGCCTAATTAATGTATAAGTACCACCTGGTGTGACATTGAAACAAAATACATAAAATGCACTTTTTCTTTTGGTTATGATCACTTTATTTAAATCTCCACTCTTCTTTTCACCATACCTTTAGATCAACTTTTCCACTATGTTTTGCTTTTTCTTTTTTCTATGTACTTGTAATTTTACTGTTTCATTGATGGTCAGGTTGGGTTCTTTCATTATTTGGCCTTTCTAGAATAGGGTCAGTAGTTAAGCTTAATTCTTGAAAACATTAAGCCTTCTTTTTCTGGACAGATATGACCGGGGAGTAGAAATGTGTAGATGTCACAACCTTTACTCTGATAACGACTGGGAATACAACAGTATATGCCCACAATGTTCTAGATGCAAAGAAGTGACATAAGCCAGCTTTACCCTAACAGGCAGCCTGACTCATAAGGAGGAGCCCTCTGCCCAAATGGTCCACTGACCAAGCCTGGTGGAAGCAGAATATGCAATCCTGTTTCCACTTTAATAGGCAGGGCAGAGGGCAACTGAGTGAGATAAAGAAGAGCAGGTACAGTAGGATGTGTCCCAGAACCAGGAGAAGCAGCAATTGAACTCTGCACACAAGGCAGGGAGTAATAACGCGTACCCACCATGCCTCTCATTCAAACATTTGGTGGAGCTCAGCCTCCTCTACAAAGGAAAATGCCCACATGCGAGAAAGAGAGAGGAAAGAGAGGTGAGAGGAGAGAGAGAGGGGAAGGAGAGGAGAGAAAGAGGAGAGAGAGGAGTTCGAGAGAGAAGAGAGAGAGAGATTCTGAATATTTAAGTACAGAGAGCTAGACCATTATTTGATGCAGCACCAGAGGCAATGAGAAATTCAAGGAAATCCACAGATTCAATGGATAGGGAATTTTCTAGAAAGAGTGTGTGGAGGTAGATCATCCCAACTCTTTGAAACCCTGGCGATATTTATAAATCCAATATATCTGAATTTTCAGCAGGTTAATATCTTCATGAGGTTTTTCCCACTGGTGGAGTCTATCCAGGGGTCTCGGTGATTTTGGATTGTGAGAGCTAGTTGCTGCTGGAGGCTCTTCTTGAGAAGGCAATTGGATAATACCCCTGCCTACCCTCAGAAGTGCCAAGAGTTGACCAGCCTTGCACAGGTTTGATATTGCCTGCTGCTTTTTTTCATTTTTTATAATTTTATTTATTGAATCACCATGAGAGCAGTTACAAAGCTTTTGGGTCTAAGTCTTGGTCATACAATGAAACATCCATATCTTTACCAGTGACCATTCTCCACCACCAAAACCCCCAGTATACCCCCATCCCACACCCTCCCCCTACCTGTGGGGCAGATGATTTCCATATTACTCTCTCTCTACTTTGATCACATTCAATATTTCGACACTGGACCCACCATTATTATTTGAGATTTTACCCCAACACTCAGATCTGCTGAAAAGGCAACAATAGACAATTTGTGTTCTATTGCTGGTTATAAAAAACATATGATGTCGCGTGGATGCTGTAGTGGCTGCGGGATTTTGAAATTCTGAAATTTTAACACTTAAATCTGGAGGGATTTCTGCCAAAAGCCACTGGGTTTTGAGATCTTCTCCTGAGTCTCTGGGATCATGGCCATTGAGCAGCTTGATGAGGAGCCAGAGAGGCCGTTCGTGGGCGATGACTTGGGGTCTCGTTGGGATGGGGAGGACAGGCCCGGCTCCACCCCATCCCATGAGGCCCAACAAGTTTTGACACTTCGGGCCCAAGCCTGACTGTCCAGTGGCCTCTGGAGGATGATGGCCACAGAGCCGCCAGAAGGAAACAGGCGGAGGGACAGCACCCTTTCCCCCCTGAGGCGGCCCACCTACAGTAACCTACTGCTGGGTCCAGACACATTTCTGCCAAAAGCCACTGGGTTTCGAGATTTGTTTCTGAGTCTCTGGGATCAAGGCCGTTAAGCAGCTTGATCAGGAGCCAGAGAGGCCGTTCGTGGGAGAAGACTTAGGGTCTCATTGGTGTGGGGAGGACAGGCCCAGCTCCCCCACCATCCCATGAGGCCCAACAAGTTTCAGCACTGCGGGCCCAAGCCTGACTGTCCAATGGTCTCTGGAGGATGACGGCCACCAAGCCGCCAAGAGGGAGTAGGTGGAGGGTCAACACCCTTTCCTCCCTGGGGTGGCCAGGCGACAGTAACGTACTGTGGGGTTCGGACGCATTTTTGCCAAAAGCCACTGGGTTTTGAGATTTGTTTCTGAGTCTCTGGGATCATGACCATTAAGCAGCTTGATCAGGAGCCAGAGAGGCCATTCGTGGGCGATGACTTGGGGTCTTGTTGGGGTGGGAGGACAAGGCCGGCTCCACCCCCATCCCGTGAGGCCCAGTGTGTTCTCCTCACTGGGGGCCCAAATGTGACTATCCAGTGGCCTCTGAAGAATGGCGGCCACTGGGCCGCCAGGGGGAACAGGCCAAGGCACGAAACCTATTCCCACCTGGTTGGCCCAGCACCGGTAGCCTACTGCAGGGACCAGACGCATTTCTACCTAAAGCCGCTCGGTTCCGAGATTAGTTTCTGAGTCTCTGGGATCATGGCCATTAAGCAGTTCAATTAGGAACCAAAGAGGTCTTGCCTCTAATTATATAGCTGAGCCGGAGATGGTTTGTGGGTGTGTTTCCCACATACCTAACTTTTGGTCACTTACTTTCTTGGTAAACTTTGCCCCAAGTTTTTGGGGTCTGGCCAAAGGCACAGCAGCAATTTTGGTGTATCTGGAAGTCTGAAGGTGCCATGAGGCTGCTAATGCACTCGCCTCACAGGTACAAATTGACCTGCTGGTGGCACCATACCCCCTGCCTGCTGCTTTTGATGTCTTTACTGAATTTTTTTTTTAAATGAGACTCTTCATAAGTCCCATACTGAGTTGGACAGCAGAGCAGGAGGTGGTTTGTGAGAGTAACTCTCACATACCTTACTTTGAGCAATTTAAATTCTAGGGGCACTTGGTCCAGATAGTTGGAGTCTGGCCAGAGGCATAGCGGCAATCTGGGGTTTTTAGGAAGCCTAAAGGCAGCAACCAGACTTCTGATACATTGCTGCACAGGCCCAGTTGACTCACAGGTGGT